AAAGAGTGATCTAATGACAGGGTTCTCTCTACAAATCGATACATGAAATTAGACTGACACATTTTGGGTAGGCTTATGGTAAATTAGCTAAGACATGTACCTATTAGAACTGGCTGATTAGGATTGTTTACATAATATTTATTTAGTCACAAATTTCTGTGCCAGCTCTCCAAAAACTTGTTTATAAATAGGCAAGTCTGATATAATTACCAGTATATAATGGTCAAGTCTAAAACCAGAAGCTCAAACTTCATAGCTAGAACAAGGCAACAATGAACAAAGTAAAAAGAAGTAATCTATGTCCTTGGTAGGTCATGCCTTTAGTAGACATTTTTTATTTTTATTTTGTTTTAAATAAATAATACAATACAGTTCCAACAATAGTATAATGATAATTATGGCAGAGAAGAACAGTTAAAAAACCAATAGCTACACAGCTAGATTGATACCAAACATTCAGAAAAGGTTGCCAACTTTTAAAAAGCAAAGTGTTCTCTGCCTACTATCTCTTAAATGGACAAATTCTGTTAAATAGGAGAGTGCAACCAGGTACCAGACTTTTTCAAACCAGATTTGTAGTATCCTCTGGGATCTGGTGTATAGGAGTAAGCTTACCTATCCAGATAACACACAGAGCTCTTCTCTCTGGAGGCCAGGTCTACTCCCAGCTTTCCCTGAGGGATTGTGGGCCCAGTCTACTTCCATTGATTATGATGGGGGTAGACCTGGGCCCCAGGAGCTCCTTTCTCCAGGGGCCAGGTCTACCCATGGCTTTCAATTCGGTGGAGGGGACCCAGGTATAATCCCATTGATTCCTATTTATTGTTTTATATGCCAATGAAGGTGTATTGTATTGATTCCTAAGGGAGTAGACCTGGGCCCTGGGCGCTCTTTGCTCTGGGGCCCAAATTTACCCACATCTTTCCCTTAGGCAAAGGGAGGCCAGGTCTACTCCCAATATGCCCAATATGCCAATAAAGGTGTATTGTATTGATTCCTAAGGGTGTAGACCTGGGCCCAGGGCACTCTTTGCTCTGGGGGCCAGGTTTACCCACATCTTTCCCTTAGGCAAAAGGAGGCCAGGTCTACTCCCATTGCTTCCTATGGTGTGCTCTTAAGTGAGCCCCCTCCCATACAGGCCTAGAGGGGGGAACTAGTTGGTAAGAGATCACTTACAGGCATACATCACAATACTCTGATTATAATTGAACTAGTTTTATTAGATTTTGGCTATTAGGAGTTTAGCCACTGTAAATTATATATCACAGTCTTATGAATAATAGTTATTTCTTCTCTAAAAGTTAATCTACATGTGGTACAAGATTCTACTTACCTAACTGTTTTTAATGATCTTAATGGAAATGACCACCACATATATTCAAAATCAGTGAAGAGAAGTTCACATTTATAACAATATCTTTTTGCCAGATACTTCTAATTCAATCTATAGGGGGTATAATATCACAGATATATAATTTTATAATAATTTTCATAAAAGCTGTACTCATTGCTTGTGTCAGTCCAGATGTAAATACCATACATCTTCTTGATCTGAAATTTCACAATGAAAGGACTTCTATTTTGTATAAAAGGTTGGCTCTTCCATGGTATGCATTTTAGAAGATGTTTATACATCTGAGTCAAAAGTCCTCTTACTGCTTGTTTTTTAAACATTAAAGTTTCAAATTTGGTCATATTAAACTGGAATTTTTGCTCTGCTTTTTTAGGATCAATACACTTTCTTACCTGAAAAAACTGAAACCATTCAATATTAATGTTCTTCTCTCTCAAAATTATTACTGAGAGATACTGGCTGAATATCATTATTGTTAATAATAATTATTATTGTTATTTGTGATTTTTGTTATTAATTGTTATTACTATTAGACAAAATAAGATAACTATTTAAGCTTTTCATATAAAGCTTTGAACATTTCTATACCTTCTTAATCTAGCATTACAGCGATATGAGAGATGGTAGGAGAAATTTCTCTTCAAAGAAGAGATAGGCATAGTTGTGTGCATTCTTATAACTAGAAATTTATCTCCTTATGTAGGAAATGCATTTTCAGAATTAGAAGGATTCTGCAAATTAATATCATGCATTAGATATTAAACAATGTAAAATTGGATTCACTGACATATTAGAAAACTCACCTGGCTGCCTTCTTTTTGCCAAAAAACAGCTGGTTGGGGATTTCCCTTAGTTTCACATGGAAAGGTCACAGTTCGGCCCTGGGCAACAATTTGGTCACGTGGCCTTACCACAAACTGCGGAGGTGCTATGATAAGGGAGGTGAAAACAAGATATTAAGACTTCAAAACTCTTAGTAACTATGGAACGTGTGTGTTAAGCACTATGTTGATGCTTTTTTAATTCCAAATCATTAATAGAAGTCATATTCTAAAGAGATAAGAGTAGACAAAAGCTTATTGGAATGAACATTTTCCAAAGCAAGCTTATAATTATGCCAGAGGGAATATCTTCATCCTTTAAACAGGGATGCTTACAAAATTCTCTCCATCCAAATTTCTACCCAGATACTGGAATTCTGAAAAAGCTGAAATTGTTTGTTTAATGCCATGATGCATTTCATTCCAATTTTTTTTTACGCATTACAAGTTACTGACGTTACAATTGCATATACATGATTTTTAAAAAATGTACAAAGGAATCATGTGATCTATTATAGCATCAAGATTTTTCTTTATACTGAGATTTAATCAGTTAATATTACAGTGCAGAGAGGAATCATACTCTAGTTCAAATATGCAGCTGCACTGTGATTCTGTTTTTGCGCATTAGTTTAACCATGAACACAAAACACAATGTGAAAAGTGGGCTAAGTGTGCAGTTGTCCATCTAAAAATTACTACTGAAGGTTCCAAAAAGATGAACTGGAAGGCAGGTGGATCAGAGTGCACGACAGAGTTAAGTACTAAAGAGAAATTAAATTGAATGGGCAAACATCTACTTCTATTGTTTTTTCAAATCATTTTTTTCCTCTCATGGTTCCACAATGAAACTGTACATACATTATCAAGTAAGAGATCATTACTCATCACTTGACATTATTCCAGTATAAAACTATAATATAAAATACTTGGGGAAGGCTTTCTCCATGGGCATATTGCACTTGGGCTCTTCCTTCAGTAGTATAACAAACAGATATTTATTACCAAGCATACACCAAGCAGTTTATTCTGTTCTTGAGCTTCATTTCATGGACTGGATATTTTAGACATAAAAGGGGCTACTTAATGAGTGACTTAAGGTCAGAAAGGAAGAACAAAAGCTGGTGTCTAAATGGCTGACCCGATAAATTGTGTTTATTCTTCTAAGGGATAGTCAAATGAAGTATGCTGCCTTCACAAAAAATGTTCACTATAGAAGCTGTAACAGCTGTTGAGAATGCTGGTTCTACTAAATTACATTTCTCCAATTATCTAAAAATCCGTCACATAGAAACACCTGATGAAAGAAACATTTGTAATGTAAGAAACCAAGCTTTTGGCTATCAAGCAATTACCATTCATTGCTTTTGCTCCAACATTAAATGGGTCATAGAAAACCAAATAGAAAACATCTATGTTTAATTGATATTTGCAAGTCAAAGACAATGACTCTGAAAGAAAATATATTGCATGCCTTTGAGAAAATTATACAAGATGTCTTTAAAAAAGAAGAAGAAGAAGAACAATTAAGACTAGAGGCCTCGGACACTTATTTCCTTGAAACACTGTTTTGAAGCAAAGTAAATATTGTACATAGTAAATTAGATTTGATTTCTGGCAAATTATGCTTTGATACAGCATTCAGCAAGCGCTGGCTTCAATCAATGTCACACTAAAGCTCTGTTATGCTAATAGCAGCTTGGGAGGGCGAGTAAGCTGATATGGAAATGAGATGGTTGAACATGAATAAAAAGCACAGGCCAAGTATGAGGTGGGTTTTGAGATGAGGGGATGGGACCTTAAGGTTAATCACATCATGTTCAGGGTTGTTTTTACAGCAGAAGATTGTATTCTACAGAAGAATTAGAAGTGAGGCAGAAAGACAGGAGTTGTGAGCATTGGTGTGTTACTCAAGATGACAATAGTGACTCTGCCTCTCTAGATATCTTTTCCTGCCTGAGTAAATAGCTCAAAGGGATAGGAAATAAATGTATTTTAATATTTGATCTTATAAGAGAAACTGTAGTATTGCTAATAACTAGCATTGCAACATTGAATTCCAATACAGAGTGAAGACTGTATATTTTTAGCTCACTATGTGACTGTTTATGCTAAAGCTCATGTGTTGATAAGCATCAGCTGTTAAAAAAAACTGCACTGAATCACTGCAGCTCCTCCTCCCCTTGAACACATAAGGAAGTGCACATAAATAAACTCAGTTCAAGTTAGTAAAATAAAATATGTCACAGTAACTGAGACATGAACTAGTGGGGGTGCACCCTAATACTGATGATTTCATTATTTCATTTAGATTAGAGGAAAAAACCAGATTCATTGAATGGAAGCTCAACATTGTTGTACTATACTTTTTAAAATGATATATAGTTTTGTATAATATTTAACTACCATTGTAATTACGATGAATATTGTGCTGACTGAAATCAAAGGAATTCTTATAATTCAAGAACTTAATAGAAAGTTTCTCAGAAAAACACCATAATGAAAACATCAAAATTAAGAAGGTTAAAACCTAAGTCCAACCTTTAAAAAATGTAATTAAAATTTCTTTGGAAAGCTTACAGTTCAAAAATGGAAGCTCACTTGAGACTTTCATGATTTATTAACACAATGTTTACCTCAAAGGAAATGGTGTATCAAATGAAATCTTTAATTCATGATGGAACTCATGTGCCTTCAGGCTGAAAGATCTAAAACAAATATGTTCGGGTAGTCCTATTTCAACTGTAGTTAATTTATTGCCTGCACAAGTCCTGAAAGTTTAATTGCTTAAATCTTTTGGCTTTGAGATTGATCACCTTAGCAACCTACTTCTCTTGTATAAGTGACCTGAGTTAGCAACACTGCAGTCCTGTCACACAGCTCAGAGAGACTCAGGGTTTGGAGTTTAGAAGACAAGAATGTAGTTATAGTCAGGGGTCGTTTCGTAGAAAAAGAGCTAGGGGAACTCATTAGCATAACTCATTAGCATATGCCACACCCCCTGACATCACCGGAAGTGTGTCATAAGGCCACACGGGGATGACGCTCTCCTGAGGGGTGGTGGCAATATGTAGATCCTACTCCTACATCAAAGGTGCCTTTTGGCAAGGTGTGAATCTTCCGTTCCCATGGACACCCTCTTGATTTGCAGATCTGGTTCCTGCTCCAAAGCCATAAACGCTATTGTCTTTAGATCTCCAAACCAGATTAAGGGAGTAGGGTCACTTGCTCTTTCCATTCCAAGAATGCCGGGGTTCGCTGGGGATTTTCCATAGCTCTCCAAGTGGGTGCAATGGCGCGGTGTCTTCTCCATCCCAAAGAGTCATGGGATACATTCCAGGGACGCACATGGTCCGTATGTGCAACGGCAGGCCCAGGCCAGCCTATTTCTAGGCAAGCATGAGATGCAGAACAAAGCAACACACAACATACAGCAATCCCTGAATCCATATTGCATAGGTATTCATGCTAGAGACACACATAAGCAGCATCACCACTATACAGAAATACAAACATAAGCTCATATCGTTACACAGCTCTATCTGTGCATGAGTTCCCATTGGCGTGTGAGATCTTCCCAGGAATGTACAACCCTTGCTCTGAACTGTGGCTCATCTTTAGCACCTCCTGTTATGTTGCCTGATTATGTACTAGTTGGAACAGGGGTCATTTCGTAGAAAAAGAGCTAGGGGGACTCATTAGCATAACTCATTAGCATATGCCACACCCCCTGACATCACCGGAAGTGTGTCCTCCCCACAGCTGGCGGCGACCTCCAGCGGGCACCAGCAGGG